ATACAAATACTGTTTGAGGTTTCCTCTTTATATTGACATAAAAAATACTCAATAAATTTACATAAAATTAGGATTCAGACCAAAGAGTAATGTATTATCATAACCAACAATACAAATTAAGTCAAATCTCTGGATAAGCTTATGACAACAGAATGATCCAGGTATCAAAATATAGCTTTTAAAACAAGGAATCTGAAAATGTAATTAGATTATTTTGACCAAATTTGACTTAATCCTCATTTCGATACGATGGGTCACATATAAAGATAGATAAAATAAAATATAAAGTAAGAGCAACTGGATGCTGGATATAAGTTGTGTTGCAGCTCCACTGGTTATTGATCTAAACCCAAAATCTAAAAGTAGAGTTCACTTTAGTTTGTTAGACAATAGTCAGGTAAGTCAGTAATGGTAAATTATATGCAAAAAAATATTAATTTGGATAAGAAGTTTTCCTAATTTTCTGCCTACAATTGCTGTGGAAAAATACGCTCTTAAAAATACACACAGTTGTGTAACTTTTGTAACCATTTGGTTCATAACAACAATGCTTTTTTTTTTTTTTTTTTGGTTAAACAGAAAAATGTGTGGTCTCTTCAGTGCTTTATTTGTGTTGTGTGTCTCCCAACAGTCAGCCATATCTGTATCAGAGAGTTCAGCGCCGCCTCAGGCTAACGGTGAGAGCATCACAGCTGCTGCGACACCAGTACTGAATAGACCCGGTGAGTGCAGCGCTGCTACAGTTACACTAAACCATGAGTACTTCATCACTATTACAGTTATTAGGGCTGCACTTAACAATTATTTTAATGTTCAATTATTGATTATTATTATTTTTATTAGTTGATTAGTTTTTTCTGTCACAACGTCCATCTATGCTTCCTGTGGTTGCACCTCCTGTTCCTGTTGTAGTGTGAAAATAACTCAAAATAGCAGCTTCTCCCCAACATTTTAACCTGCCTCGCAGGTTTTAGACGTAGCTTTGCAAGTCCAAAATTAACTAAAGAATAACTTTGGTTAAAGCGACATTCAATTGCTTTAAAGGGATCCCTGATTAGTTGTAACATTAGAATTTATTTAATAAACATATATTTTACCTGTAAAATAAAGACTGTAAAAATACTGTAGGATGTTTAGCTTTTATAGTTTTTAAACTAAAAGTGTACAAATATATTACACAGACTGGGCCATTTTATTTACACGCAAAGCATTCTGGGTAAATGATGACGTGGATAAGTCTTTGGTGCAAGGCTGCTAGCGAGCTATATCCACCCATATCTTGGACAATATTCAATTCAATTCAATTCAGGTTATTTATATAGCGCCAAGTCACAACATACCTTGTCTCAGGGCACTGTACATAAAAAAGAACAATGTAAAGAAGAAGCCAGCAGACCGCGTTGAATCACTTCATCACAGTCTCCCATCCTGAGCAAACGGTGGAGAGGAAAAACTCCCAATTAACAGGAAGAAACCTCCAGCAGAACCAGGCTCAGGACAGGCAGCCATCTGCCTCGACCGGCTGGGTTGGGGGACAGGAAAGAGACACAGACAAACACAGAAAAACTGGTCCAGGTGCACCTTCTTCTGAAAAAGAGACAAAGAAAAAAAACATGTTATTGATAGAAATAATTACAATAAACATGTAGAGAAGAGAGACTAAAGACAACTGCAGAGTGAGGAAATGTGCCGTTTGTGCTCTAACAGTCTATAACAGCAGAAATGAATAAGTCAGGAAACCTATGTCTAATTATAGGATTTATCAAAAAGGAAAGTCTTCAGTCTAATCT